CTGTTTTCGAGGACTCAAAAATGATTTCCGATTAGACAGTATAAATAAGTCATGCTTAACAACATTATAGTTTCTGAATTTAGAATAGTTTCATTGTCATAAACATCAAAAGCAGTAACCTGCTAAACAACAATTTTTTCACACAAATGAACCCAATTGCTCGACTAACGCCTTGGGAGGAAGACATATGTGGCCAATACTGTGAGTTCCATCTTTTTGCTTTGACTTTGTACACAGTGACATCACAGGTGAGCTTTGTTATGTATCCTACATGGCGTCTAAATATTTATTATTTTGATTCCCCAACATCGGATTTTTTTAGAAATTCCGGCCCCCATATTAAGCGCCTTTCTCGGGGCGATAATATTGATGTCAAAGTGTACTGGAAGTCGAACATTGCAGAATGATCAAAGAAGATTTTTGAAGTCTGAAAACTAACAAGAGAATACTCAGCTGAAATTGTGGTCTCAATTCATCCTCAGCCTACACGGTCACCTTTACCAACACTGGGTAAAGAACTATAGACCTGTACGGTCTCAAGGAGCTCCCTGAAGCACGACTCCTACCAAAACCTACCACCAAACACAACCAGGTTTTAGGAACTCTGTTCGGTTATGAGGTTGTTAGGCCAGCCACTTGCATAAATGTCTATCTTTGAGGTAAAAAACATGTCTTGTTTGACAGTTCAGTTGGAAAGAGGACAAAATGTAGCGCTTTAATTTTGAAACTACGAAATGAATAAAAAGATATTACTTTTTTTCTATTTTTTACAATTGAAAACTGAAAAAAAAAAACTAAAAATTGGCTTCTCACTTAAAAAGCATAACCGTTATTGTGGACTTAGTGTAGAACTGGCAGCATTTTTCTTATCACAATAATTCAAGTATCTCAATGAGAAGCGGTGGAGCAATTTTTAAAATATCACCGAAGCTTCTAATATTCCCCACTTCAAACAACTCGAAATCACTTTCCTTTGCCAAGTTTCTTAATGAAAGTTTAATTCCAAAAAATGCTTAATCTAAACTCCGGCTAATGCGCAATATCGACCTCTGAAAATGCCACCGCAACAATTTACGCTGTTACATAAATCACTCGCATTGAGTGATTACTTCCTCTAGACGCGTCACACGACCACAATGTGCCACATAAATTCACTGGTCATGGCAATTATTATTGTTTTACCCTCTGCATGTTGTTGCTGTTACAGCTTCCTTGCTATAAACACAAAGCACAGTTGAATTTTTACAACGCAATTTCATGGCGAGTGTAGGGAGCGCGGAGTATACTCCCTTGACCGCTTTCGAGTGTGTGGCAATTTGAAATATGAACGTCATTATGGGAACTCATCTTAAATAGTTGGATGGCAATGATGACGTATATTTTGTTGGAAAGATTATGTACGTAACTAATATGTATATGAGTGTGTGCATTTGTATTTATCTCTTTTGTTAGTGTTTATATATATAAGCGACAGTGAGGTCAGGTATTGGCATAAAATTTTCAGTACAAAACTTTTTTATTCTTTATTGTTTTTATTTAATTTTTGTTACTTCACTATAAAAAAAGTTTTTTTTATTGCATATAATGCAGGTAATTTAAGTTACAAAAAAAATTTATTTTATTTAAAAAAAATATTTAAATAAAATAATGAAAAATTTTCAATAAAATAATTTTTTTTAATTCAGTATTTGTGTCAATCTTTAAAAGTTGTATTATTTAAATTTTATTACTTTGCTATAAAAAAAAAATTATTGCATATAATGCAGGTAATTTATGTTACAAAAAAAAAAAAATAAAAATAAATTTATTTTATTTAAAAACAAATTTAAATAAAATAATGAAAAATTTTATATAAATTAATTTTTTTTAAATTCAGAATTTGTGTCAACCTTTCAAAGTTGTTTTTATTTAAATTTTGTTACTTTGCCATAAAAAAAATTTTTTTATTGCATATAATGCAGGTAATTTATGTTACAAAAAATATTTTATTTAAAAAAAATATTTAAATAAAATAAAGAAAAATTTTAAATAAAACAATTTTCTTTTTAATTCAGTATTTGTGTTAGCCTGTAAAAGTTGTAATATTTAAATTTTGTTGCTTTGTATAAAAAAAAGTTGTTTATTGCATATAATGTATGTAATTCATGTTACAAAAAAATGGAAATTAAATTTATTTTATTTAAAAAAAAAATTTAAATAAAATAGTAAAAATTTTTTTTTACTTCAGAATTTGTGTCAACCTGTAAAAGTTGTGTTATTTAAATTTTGTTACTTTGCCATAAAACATTTTCTTTTTGTTATTGCATATCATACAGGTAATTTATGATACAAAAAAATAAAAATTAATTAATATTAATAAAAAAAAAAATTCAAGTAAAATAATGAAAAATTTTAAATAAAATAAATTTTTTTATAATTCAGAATTTGTGTCACCCTGGAAAAGTTGCATTATTTAAATTTTATTACTTTGCTATAAAAAAAATTTGCAAAAAATGCTTGTAATTTATGTTAAAAATAAAAATAAATATAAAATTATATTATTTTAAAAAAAAATTTAAATAAAATAATGAAAAATTTTTAAATAAAATAAAGTTTTTTTAATTCAGAATTTGTGTCACCCTGTAAAAGTTACTTTTCTTACATTTACCATGCAGACAATGCAATTTCTAAATAATTCCGCACACATACGCGTAGTTAATATATCATTAATTCACACATATACACATATATATATATATATCCGCTGAACTCTTCTGATGTTAGTATGTATGTATTTGCTTTTGTTTTTTTTTTTTTGTTTTTAACGTTTTGTTCGTTGTTTGGGTTGGTCTATTATCCTAAGGATGCACATTAAATGCTGATGGCGAGTCATAAATAAATGTCAGTTACGGTTGTTGTTGTTGTTGCTGTAACTTCATCTGGTGTTGGCGTACACGTGTATTATTATTATCCTTGCCTTATATAATACAATTGTATGTTCGTGTGCGCTTGCCTATGCATGTGTGTGTATACTACTTATTTGTTGTGATTTCCTTTCACACATTTTTTTTTTTTTTGCGTCAACAGTTAAGCTCTCAACTCTTTTAGCTGTCAATAAATCAAAAACTTCTTTGGATTTCCTAGTGTCCATTGCACATCGGATGCAAGTTTTTCAAATAAAATCGTAGAATAAAATTCATGAGTCATTGAATTCTCTCTTTTAGGGCGTGCGGGTCGGTCCACTTGTTACAGTTATAATATGGAGAGCATAAATTTTATTGAGAACTTAGTCGAGGGATAACTGTCATTTTAGGTTAGGTTTGGCTCAAACGAGCCCATTGTAATACCACTAAGCATCCCATTGTCACCTATGCGCTAGTCAAATGATCTTGTGAAGTTGGCAAAACGAGGCAATCGACGTATCTCTGTACGTGCTATTTCACTCAAGTCTCTCAAGCTTCTCCAAAGTGTGCAACACTCGCAAAGGAATTGTTGTAAGGTTTCCACATCTTTTTTCGCTCTACAACTTCTGCAGTAGCCATTTGATGGTGCACCCAGCCTCTCTGTATGTCTACCTAAGAGAAAATGTGCCGCAGTTAGATCCAATTTTGTAGATATTTCGCTCATTTTTAGTGACATAAGCTCTTTCTCGATCGTATGCCGGCCACAATATCCTAGCCACATGGCTCTAGTTGAGACTTATGCGATTGAAAACTCTCTTATATTAAGCTTACAAGTGGGAAACGGCAGTTTTAGACTCTTCCATGATAGCGAAAAAGAAAGAGAGGGTGCCTTTCTTTGCCTTGTGCGCCATCTCGTTACCTCCCATGTTCCTTTTGTCCTCGCACCCAGCTTAAGCATCACATTAGTCGCATATTCCTCTGCGTAGATTCTACTACCGACCGTATAGTCTAGTTTTGAATCCAACCCCAGCCCACAACATGCAACAGAATGAGCGCTTCATCTGGTAAACAACTCTACATAAATAGTGGTTAAAAGGATAGCAATCGACTCAGAACGGCTGATGGTTTTTTTTAAGAGGAACTTTTTATTTCATGTCCGACAGTGAAGTGGAATCAAAAAAGTTAACTGAATTTTTTTGGTGTAAATTAATTTTCTGGAATTTTGAATGTTGGCTAAAGCAGGACTCGAACTTTGGCCGTCCCAGTGGCAGTACACTATGCTAATCATTCGTCTATCACGGCCACCAGCACACTTTTCAAGCATCTAGACACTTAACACTGCAGTTCTTGAACTTTGCATGAAGCGTTGTTGTCCCCTGAAAGGACTTATGGACCTTCAATTGATTTGAAAACAAATCGGACTATATGAAGAAAGATTTTTTTAGACAAAAATTCAAAAAATATTTATCACTTTAGAAGCAGCAAGTTTTTGAATTTTCGTCTCAAGTTTTTTGGCTTTTTTTTTTTAGCTACAGTGTTCTAGACCTGCCACCGAGTGGCTTCTTCTCGGGTGAGTCAAAGCTTTACGGAAATAACTGCGTGCCAGTCTGCTGTTCATACTTCCCGACCACTATAACATAACGGATTTAGAGGTTGCTACTGTCAAGTTAGCAGTGGACACACGAATGAAAATCATATCGGTTATCGGTCTGTACAACGCAAACATCGGACAAACAACGCTTTATTAATGTCAATCGAGCACTGTTCTGGGGTAAGAGAGGCTGAGTCTGAAAGTATCATATCACGTACATTGAAAGCATTTGTGGACTTGTGGCATTAACTGAGCGCTGCAATACAAGTAAGTGATGTGTAGTCCGGTACTTTTTATGGGAAATTTTCGTAAGTATTTTCTGACTGAAATATGTGGTCTTTTCTGTTCGCACTGATTAACAATATCAAGCGAAAGCTCGGTTTGTTTGCATGTATTGAATATTACGTTATACAACAAAGAAAAATGGTAGAAATGACAAGTCAAGTTTTTATCGTCGCATTTCCCGGTGCTCATTCACTAACCATAAATATTCATAAATATTATTTAAAAAAAAAAAATTCACTTACCACTTTACTTCTATGGCTACCGAGCTGTCGAATTTTCGAACTTTTTTTTTTAGCACTTACACATACAAACTCATTAAATTCACTAATGTCAACCACGAAACGTTTAACACAAACTGTCACTCTGGAAATGGAGCAAATATAGTTGATGGAAGGGATAAATTATTTGGTTGCTTTAATTTCTTACGTTATTTGCTGTTTGTTGATAAAAAAAACTTGGATTACACAAATTTAATGTCTTTTATTTGTCACTGTTAAAAGACAAAGCAATGGCTCTTGGCGTACACTCTGATGCACTTAACCAGTTCGGGGTTACTTAATTAATTACATTGAAGCTTTAACTCTAGATCAATAATTATTAAACTAAATAAAAATATTTTTATTATTTGTTTAATTGGCGGGCTTATTAAAGCAAAAATTTATCGAAAATATAACCGTTTAAGCTAAGCCAGAAAACCGTTTGGAACCATTTGCATAACTTTGGATTCAAAAAGAAGCTCGATGTTTGGTTACCACATGAGCTAACGCAAAAAAACATGACCCGATTCTGACCCGATACGAGCTGCTCCCCTATGGCAAAACGCTCAATTCGGTCCTCTACTGCCAACAAATGGACCGCTTGAAGGCAGCACTCATCCAGAAGAGGCCATCTTTGATAAACAGAGGCCGAATTGTGTTCCATCAGGACAACGCCAGGCCACACACGTTTTTGGTGACGCGCCAGAAGCTCCAGGAGATGGAACGGGAAGTCCTAATGTACACATCCTAAAGTCCGGAGCTGGCACCAATCCATCTTTTTCTGTCCATGGCGAACGCGCTTAATGGTGAGAAGTTGGCCTCAAGAGAGGCTTGTGAAAGTTGGCTCTTCGAGTTTTTTGCTAATAGGGACGCAGCCTTTTACGAGAGCGGTATAACAAGTTTACGTACAAAACGGGGCATCTATGACTTAAATCGGACAAATGTTTTTACTTGACCAATTTTTACTACCACCCCCAAGTCACCCGATTATTATTTCCAATATTTTTATTTAGCAATTGTTTACAAATTACTTTATTATCATATTCCAATCAAAAGTTTTGTCTGGGCATAACTCATAACTTTTTAATTTTAATTTTTTAATTCATTTCATTCTATAATATGATATATTACTTTTGTATCCTTCCATATGTCTTATATGGTATATTAACTATGGTTCGAAGATCCAACAAAAATCACACCGATGACGTTGGAAAACCGAGTTGAGTTGACTTAGCCATGACTGCCTCTCCGTGTGTCTCTCTAATTGAGTTATTTCGACCAAACTTGGTACACGGATGATCTGGTATTTGTAAACAACCATCTGTCGGAACCAGCCAGATCGGAACACTTATATACATAAATATATGAACAATTTTTCTGATTTTAGATTTCGGGTCACAAATTTGTTTAAAATAGAATCTCAGAATGTGCAAACATCATCTAATTATACCTGGGCGGTATATATAATCGAAATCTCGCGACTATTATATTTGGTGTAGTCCAAAGAAATCCATTATTTTTGCATGAAATTGAAAGCTTTACTATTTTCTTTCCGTATCCAGCCTTATATAAATGGGTCAAAAGACCATCGAAACAAGCGTGTAAAAGTGTGAAATTGCATATTCTCTTCACGAATGAACAAATAGATTTTGTCACGGAAAATTATAAAGATCGGAAGAATATATATATGATGTGAGCGCTCTGACTGATTTATTCAGAACGAAGTTTCATAAATTTTATATGGTCATCGCAGGTATAAAGACAATGACATGATTAATCGCAGCTCTTCTTCTTGTTTTTTTTTTTATAGTAATTAAATTAAATTTATTTTATTTAAATTTAAACTACACCACTTAATTTGGCTTAATTTTTATTAAAATTAATTTAGTTTGATTAGATTAAATTAATTTTAATTCATATTTTACTTCATTCCACTTTAATTGATTTTACTTCATACTTATTTATGGCATTTTATTTTAATAAATGTACGTATATTTTTCGCAATTTAATTAAATATTTTATTCATTTCTGTCGTTGTATATTAATAAATTTTACTTTACATTTTGTTAATTTTTGTTATTTTTCTACTTAATTATTTTTTTTTTTCATTTATATTAATAATTTTTTAGTTTATTCACTTAATAATATTTTAGTTAATTTCAATTTTGTACTTGAGTTTTATTTATTTTTTTCCCATTTTACGAAAACCTGTTATGTTGCTTTATTATTTTTTACTTGGCTTATTTTTTTTTACTTTATTTTAGACTTTTTTTTACGTTATTATAATTTATTTTTAGCTTATTATTATACAATTATATTTTTTGTGTTATTTCATGAAATTAACTTAATATTATATTTGATTAAATTTATAAATAAAATAAATTTAACTAAAAAAAGATAAATTATTTTAAAGCTAATTAATTTTAAGTTTTCATTTTTTGTACTTAAATATCATATATAATATTTTATTTGTTTGTTCTGTTTTACGTTCTTTTATCATATTTCATTTTAATCATTTGGTTTTGTTTTATATTTTCATTTTCATTTTTTCACTCAGTTTTACTTTGATTAATTTAGTTTAATTAAATATTTTTATTTCTTTTTACATTTTATTTAATTTTTTTTTTATTTAATTTAATTTTTTAATCTTATATTCTGTATTTTTTTCATTTTATTTTATTTCACTTAATTTTATCTAGTGTAATTTAAATTAATTTTAAATTATTTTATGTTATTTCATTTAGTTATCATATTTAACTATTTTCTTTCATATTATTTTGTTTTATTATATTATATTTTATTTTTTATTTTATTTTATTTTATTTTATTTTATTTTATTTTATTTTATTTTATTTTATTTTATTTTATTTTATTTTATTTTTTTTTTATTTTTTTATTTTTATTTTTTTTCTTCGATTTATTTTATGTTATTGGATTTTATTTAATTTCGCTCCTTTTTTTTATGAAATATTTTTTTGTTTTTGTATCATAATTTTTTATTTTTAAATTATATTGCTTTATTTAACATTATTTTAGTTGGCAAATTTAATTTTATTTACCTTATTTAAATATATTTTTCTATGCCATTTGATGTTATTTTGGGTAATTTATTGTATTTTTCTTTTTTTTAAATTATTTAGATTTATATTATTTTGCTTTGTTTATTTATTTTATTTTATTTTTTTACTATAAATTGTTAAATTTATTTTGTTATGTTTAAGTTTATTTATTTGAGTTTATTATCTGTATTTTAATTATTTAATTTTATTTTTTATGAAGGAAATTTATTCGTTGGATAACAGTGTGCAATTATATTTCCTCTCATCTTTTTTATCAACAAACAGTTTTTGGGTCTTAGGCGAGGTTTTTAAGTTTTTCACAAAATATTATATTCGTGTCAAGCAATTTCTTTAATTCACTTTCTTTTAATTCTTTAATTTTCAATTTTCACTCATTTAACAACATCCTTCTTTACTTGTATTTCTGTGCTTATTATTTGCAATTTTTTTCGTTTTTGATGCTGCAAATAAATTTTTGCTCTGAAGCACTTTTGCGCATAGATGTAGCGCTGAACCGCACTCAACACACACACAAACAAACACTTGGAATGTACACAAAAGTCAACCAACGATGCCACGTCGCTCTTTGCAGAGCGAAAAGCGCTGTGAGCAGAATTTTAATAAATACCTTATGTACTGTTTTACTGTTTTGTTTTTCAACATATTTTAAATTGAAAAAATTGAAAAAAAAAAATAATTTCTTCACTTTATCTTGATTTTTATTTCTATTTAAATTTCCTTACTGCTTATTTTTTCTCTACTTTCTACTTGATATTATTACTGCTGGAAAAGCTTTGACTTTTATCCTCTCTGCGTTACCAAACTGTGCACGTTGCACGCTGCCGTCGTACTGAACACAACTCGAACTGGAACTGAACTAAAACTTTTCAATTGCTGACATGCTGACTTTGGCGTTGGCGTTGGCCAGTGCTTAAACTTGGAGGCAGAACAGGGATAAATACACACACAGGCACATATATATGTATATGAACACCCACAATCTCACCACAACCACCACCAACACGACAGCAATTACGTTCAGGCGAAAAATGAATGAAATTCTTAGAAACAGTAGACGAGCAAACAAAAAAAAAAAAAGATTGAATGAATTCAATGAATTTGGAGCGCATAAAATTATTTCTGCATTCAGCAATTCATTTTAATGGCAACGCCAGCCTTGTCTCGTTGAAGTCCTGCAGGATACATGGCCGCAACAGCATCTCATATCTCACCACTATTCACTCGTCTCGCCTAGCGCCAGCAATTCCACACGCATTCAGCTGAGCAGCCGAGCTACACTCTCATGGCGTTCATGCTCTCCTTTTGTGATGAACTTTTTGCCTTCCGTTGGCAATTCGTATTTCATTACAACGCCAAGCTCTCGTAACTTCTTGTGCTCTCGCTCTTTCTCTCTCTGCCCCAACTTCACTTGCACTTGGCTCTCCCTGCCGCTTTGCATTCAATGGCGGTGTGCGAAAATTGTTGCGCATGTTCCAAAAATAGTTTCTTCACACTTGGCAATTTATTTATTTTCGTCCGTGAAAGTTCGTAAACACATTCAGACTTGGTTATTGCCGCTGCCAAAAATAGCAACGCTCTGCGAATAACTATTGGCGGCACTGTTATCTAACATCGCTTGGTTGAGTGAGTTGTTTACGCTCAGTGAAATTAACTCAGTTGTTTCGAATTTTTTTTATTACATTTTGGCATCTCTGGTCAGTTTCAATACTAGAAAAGCAAGGAGCCTGAAACTGTAGTCTTCATCCAGGCATGGAATCATGTTTATTAAATTATTAAGCACACATTCAGTTACCGTCAGAATTGTTCGTAACAGTGGAGAAGCCATGGCTAAGCAGACTTAACTTACATATTTAGTGGGTTCCAGGCGAAAAGTGCATTAAGAAAAAGTAAATAGTCGATCGGATTGCCAAAATGATAATTTGTCTGGCGAATGAACTGACGAAAACAAAGGAAAATGGATTCATGTATGGTACAACTCATCAGCTGGAGTCTGCACTTCTACGAAAACTGGAAAGCTCTCGTAGATAGCTGCTTTTGAGCTGGCGTTGCGAGCTCAGGATTGTTGAAATTTTAATTCGTCTTCTGAGTACGCCGTTGAGCGAGGATTAGAAAGCTAGATTATTGTTGCTTCAAGTCTGCTGAGGATCATATCGTGGAGCTGTTCGTAGGAAAACGAGTTTTGACTGTCTTCCATCTAACACAGCAGGATCGATCTGATTGAGAGTTTTTCGATCAGGAGACAGACATATATAGCTTAGTGAATTTTCTTCTGCTAGAATCTAATGCTACGGACACAACCATATTTCGGGCATTGTTGAAGTCGATCAGCCTCAACCCATTAGGGGATGTTTGACTGTGGAGGCTGAATTTTCCGACTGTTGTCGCAAAAATACTTTCTTTGCCCAACCTACCTAGGACACATCGTCCTTCTCTTCCGTCGGGGCGTGGGCGCAAGTCAACGATTTGTAAAGGAATTTCGCTTTGATGCGGATTGTGGCGACGCGTTCATCTATCGGGGGGAACGCCAGTACGCGGTGGCGGAGTCTCTCTACCACCACAAATGCTACAACAAATTTGCGCTTCATTACTATGGTCGCCCAAGTAAATGTCGCAAGGACCTACCTTCTTTCAACCCTGTCCCGACTATCGCACTTCATGCATGGCGGTGATGACAGCTTTTAATTTTATAAGAACATCTACCAGATTAAGGGACCGCGCTTTCCTGGTGCGTGCCCTCAAATGGTAATCCTTAAAACATTTGCGGGGTTCGTCATCAAAAGGGTGGTTTCTCATCGGAGGCTTCTCTGATTTTTTCATTGGAGTGGTCTTTTATGCAGTGGGTCCCAAACTCAACACACAACCGCAGGAGATTCGCCTTCTCACTTTGTTGTTTGCTGGCTAACCAGAGAATACTTCGTCCAAGACCAGATGTCGTGAGCTGCTTGAACTATATCTGTGTTATATGTTTGGATGGATCCACGTGGGAAAATCTTTTTATGTCGTAAAATGTAAATCCAAATGTAAATTACGAAACAATGAAGCAAATGTACATACATAATTATTTCAAAACAAATAACATTCACAACAAATAAAACAAAAACAAATGCATTGACAACATGCTAAAATATTTATCACTGAGCTCCTCAACTCATCTCACACATACATACATTGTGCTCGTATACACAGGTGAATACAGTTGTTCTGATTTAAGGTCATCAGAATATCCATCAATGTGCACTGTTGTTGGGTTAAGTACTACTATTTTTGCAATCAACAAGCAATTTTATGATATGTTTGTGGAAATCCATAGTCGTAACAGGACATGACACAGAGCAATGCACTCAGAGAAATTGAAAGAGAGAATGCTAGAATACGAATATATCTGGTGTATACTCAATTGATTAAATTCAATTTAACCATATTTTTGGAATGACCAGACTTCTGTCTGCTTCTTAAATGTCGTGGGCAGAGCACGTCTGGAGTGATAGTTTTTCTCTTTCTCGGTTTCTATAGGTTAGGTAAGGTTAGGTTAGGTTAGGTTGAACTAACTGACGATAATACATCCATAGTCTTGCCAAACTCACTACCTGCGACCAAACGACACTCATATTGTATCTCTAGTGCGAAGGAGCTGGAGAATTTTACACTCTTCGAGCTATAACGCTTAGTCGGCGCTGGCAACGATCTCTTAGCTCGTTATATTATGGCAACTCTCGCACATATCATGATTCATAATCTTCGTTATTCGCCAACACCATTCTCATTATTCGCGTAAACTCCAATTGATCACGCTTTGGATCGTTCGCGTTCATTATTCTTCTCTCTTACACTTTATAGAATCATAGAAATGCTTTGGACTTTATTCATTGGGAGCTTCCCTTTTCAAATGCCCACTAAGTTCTAAGAAATGTTGGCAAGAATTATTCAACGTTTGATTTAAAGGTTAGATTTTTCTATCTATAGGGTTGCTAGTCACCCGTAACTTAGATATTTTTACTTGCCTTCTATCACTACCAGCTCCACCGAAATCCTTGTAGCTTGTGTCCACACCTTTCCCCCGTAGGCTTTTCTAAAATTTTATGCGTTTTGAGTATCTGGAATCATCAGGCTCTTAAGATCTATTCAAATCGTTGATTGGGATTTTAGTCTCACACTCTAATTTTATATGGCTGGGTCTTTACATGCGATACTCCGGTAAGTTATTGCTTTCCACCTGAATGATCAGGCAGTTCGATACCTGCATGTCCAAGTATACAATTTAAGTTACGCCTCGCCTACTGCGGAATAAGTTTTATTATGTTCTATTCAGCATACTCTGGGTAGGGTTGAAGCCAACTTTTTGATTGGACCTTGTCTTAAGCTGCTAAGATTGTCTACCTGATATTCACATTACACCAAATCCTCTAAAAGTCCTACGAAAATCAGATCATTCCACCATCATAACTTCTTTGTCGATTATAAAGCCGCATTCTTTTGAACAAAAAGCGAGCGCCTGAACGCCGCTGGGGTCCTGGAGGTAGCGTAGAAGGCCGGCATAAATAATAATGAAAAAATACAAAAAGTGTTCAGCTTACTACACATTCCCATGATATTGATGCCATTAGAGGTTGCGAGCGAGATGTTATTGTTGAATTTTCCACATACGAAATCAGACAGTTCATGAGACAGACAGTTCATGAGAGAGGGACTAAGTATTTACTGTCCACAAACCCTGAATCAGAAAACCTTGGATGCTGATATGATTCGACTTTGTCAAAGAATTTCTATAACTTGGCAGAGCCGTATACGCCGACAATAATAAGGAGCACAACTTAGGTCAGGATACTGTAGCAAGTTAAACTCCTTGCTATCCAGACTCGCCCCGGCTTATCCCACGGCAACTTAGATCGATTTAAACAACATTTAAAGAATCATGCTATCCAATACGTCTTAATGCGGACTCAGTAACCAAATGAACAGTAGAGCCCTCTCCCGATCGACAATACTAACGCTTCACCGGCGCTTGTCCCATAGTCTTTTATGACTCAGAAGCGCTTGTAGTATACGAGAGAAGATTCAGAAAGTTTTCGAAATGAAAACTATTGGAGTACGTTGAAGAGGACGAGAAAAGACGATTACCTTCTCCACTTTGTAGTTTTGTGTCTTGATGTTTTCCAACAAATGGAGGGACTTACAGCTTATGCTAAACCGCCTCCGAACGGCTGATGGATTTTTTTTATGAGGATCCTTTATTTCATGTCCGAAATACACTTCGAGGGTCAATCGCAATTAGAAAATTTAACTTAATTTTCTATATAAATTAATTTTCTTTAACTTTTGGTTGTTGGTCGTACTAGAATTTAAACCCTGGCCTTCCGAATGGCAGTAAGCAATGATGGAGCCACCGAGATCCTTCGAGTTGAGGTATAGGTTCCAAGCTTAGAGTTCAAAAAAGGGAATATAAAATTCCCATAAGTTTTGCTGACTGGTAATTTCGAAGCATCGACCTCGAACTAGAACCCGAAGAAACCCCACTTAAGAGATGGAAGGAAGACTTGAAGTTATCAGTGTTGGTTCGCACAAATACCTTGTTTAACACCAATAGCCCACCACGCTCAGCGAACACATCACAAATTGAACCTACAAAATCATCGACATAACACTGACGCCAGCAGCATTAACCGTTATCAAATTTAATAATGCAAACCTAATTAAGTTGTATTATTCCAGAGTTGTTGCTTTTGTTCAAACGAGATTTACAAGAGAGCGCACATGTAAACGAGCAAAATGTTCTCGTCATCCCTCCGACCGTCTGTACAACCGTTTCATCGGTCTGTTGGTCTGCCGCTCCATTGAATTTC